GGAGTCTGACTGCAGAATGGCCAATGATTGAAGGCCCCGGGGTTCAAATCACGAAGGTGCTAATCAAATGCTTCTTTTTCACACCATTGACAATTTAATGTTTTTTTTCTGTATTTTAATTATGAAAATCTGCAAAAAAAGTGTGAATTTCACACGAATCGGAAGACTAAAACCGGAAGAACAGTCCGAACACCCCCAGGCACAAATGGTGTGAGCAGAACTGACAATCATTAATCACGCTGGATAGTATAGATCAATTATAGCCACTCCCTCACGTTAACACACATTTTGTCGTCAGAACATTGACCGGAGCATTACAAAGCACATCTCAATCCACTCGACCGGGACTACGCCCACCAATCACACAATTTAAAAGGACAAATTGAACACAATGTGTACGTTTCGCACGATGTAGGAATTAATTGATCGAACAATTAGATGCTCATCAATTCATTGTTTTAATCACTTGAGCATATTTCCCATTAGCAATAAATTATTCCATTATGTACGTTTTATTCCGATTAATGCCAAAAAGAACAATGAAACAAACACTGGGTTTCCAACAAAACTGGCTTAGAGCCAGGGAAATATACGCTGATATACGCATGATATCGCTCATTGACCACGTACTTTCCTTCACTCTCAGCTGAATAGATCATCTTGAGGCAAAACATGCTCACTAACGGTAGCTTATGAAAAGTTAGAATTTCTAACAATAAGTACAGCCAGTGGGCTGTCGAATACAAGCCCATTCACATGGATGCACGAGAAATCACAAACGTGAGCTACACAAACGAAAACATTTTTTTTTCATTTCATCATATACACAGATATCGCTAGCTGTAATACCTATTTTCCTTAAGATTGCGTTAATGTGCTTTATTTATTGGTCGAGTATGTTTTTTTTTTAAACAATGTTCAAAATATCTCTTTTTACGAAAATATTGGTATCTGTTTTATGCACCACAACAAAACACACGCGGTGGCGGCCATTTAAACGTGGCGGCCATTTTGGCGATGAAGAACAGCACTAAAGCAACATGTAACACGAAAAAGTCGAGGTTTGTTCGAGGTCTAGAACAGAGACAATAACATTCACTGTCGGAGTTAATTTGCCGGGTGTACAAAGACATTAAAAAATATTCTTTAAGTCCATGCTGACAGCATGTATGAGATTGTATGATTGTAATGTATGCACCACACATGATTAAAGTTACCCAGTATTCACTAATATCACAGAGCGCGACAGAACAATTCAAACGTATCTCAGTCTGATGAAATTTAAAACCGAAACAGCTGAGACAACCGAACCATGGGCCTGGGATGTATGCGGCTGACAGTGACGCATTTTAAAAATTCCCGATGGCGTACATTAAGAACAGTTCATTGAGCCATCATCGTCCAGCCACCAAATGATAACTAGGCTCCACGCACGTCTCCGGTTTGTTTGTTGATACAGCTTTTTAATATACCCTGCCCATCGTCCGTTAAAATATATCAACTTCAAGATTGTATCGTTTCTGGCGATGGCTGGTCGAACTTTCAAGGAATTGATTTACTGTTTTCGCAAGAGTTGTTAGCTGTAGGCACATTTCGGTCAGCGATGTCACGACCCACCGCACGCTCACTCCATCAGTCAATGCAAGTGAGTGTGGAGTCTCAGAGCACCGCCTCGGTTCTTAGCCTTGGCGGGGTCATGTAATTGATTTTTAATGTAGCGCGGTGAAGCATAGCCAAGGGTTGTAGTAATGTTCTCACCGGACCGTAATATTGAGGACAATATGAAGAAAAGTAGGCGGGAGATTCGGGTTGGTCGCTACTTTGTCTTAACACTTCAGTGCTCACGCCGCGTAATATATATTTTGAAAGTAGACGCAAACAGTAGTTATCCGGACAAAACTGATATCATGGCCGACGTAATGACTATCATGGCCAACCAGTCGATGGGACTATCAAAACAAATGATGAAAAAAATCGATGTGACAACCATAGAAAAAAACAAAAACTGTTATCTATAGCTCCTTAAGCAAACCATTATAGAACTCAGCGACTTGAGAACAAAATTAGATAAGGAATGATTTCTGGTGAAAACTATGTCTAACACGCATACCCTGAGAGTCGGACACTGAGGGACCGTAATCTTATCGTAGCTAGGAGAATTCCACTTAATAGCCACCGGGCACGAGTCATGCTTCCCAGGGGTCGCACAGATCCTCTCTCGGTCGGCTACGGCGTATTTCACTTAAAACGCTGAATGCACAAGGGGCTGTGTATCATTGCATAACTGTCACCAGCTCCATCTCGGCTAGAAGGGGCTGGGGTGGCCATTGCCCACAAACGATAATGATACTATGTAAATACAATTACCGGCAAACACAAGCAATCTGTTGCGAACTCTATCTGGCCGTGGTGTTTGGATCGTGAAGTGGCGTAAATAGAGCAGATTGTATTTGTGCAAACGAGTCGATTTCCCAGGCTTCTAGAGTCACATTCTCAATACCCCGATAGTCCGATAAAACTAAGTGCTTCTCCAAGTAACAACTCTTAGTGTATACAACGTAAACGAAGTTTTCAAGTGACTGGTCGCGAGGCATGTCACTTATAGAAGCACTCAGTTGGCCATGCCATAATATATTTATTTATTTACCTTCGCCCAGTGCTTCTATTTTGGTCGACGGTTAGCCCCCGTCTTGACGCCTCGTCAAACAAAGAAGTGGTATACACACATGGGGGAGGGACGACCTGCAATTTGTTTTCTTAAGAAAGTTATTAAATATATTTAAAGATCGTTAACGGTAAACGTAGTTCAATCTCATCTTACGTCGTTCACACTGAGTTGTACCTAATCCATGATAACGGCACAATAGCGGTCTATCGTATGCTGCGTATATACAGTGGTAAAACTTCTATCACGATATAACAGGTCTGAAAATACTCGGCAAAATGTTGCAGAAAACGCACTGGCTTGACTGTAAAGGTCGAAACCCATTAAAATATCCGTTTACACCAAAACTACCACACACAGTCTCGGTGTAAAGCAAAACTTCTTTTTTTATAAACCCCTCTTCTCGTACATTGAGAGAAGAGAATGAGCACAAGTACGTGCTGTGGATATGTGACACTAACTATACATGCGATTTTCAAAGTTCTTTTCAATATTAAGTGTAAACATGTTAACTACACTCATTGGTGACAGTTGCCTTCGAGATTTGAAACCGTTACTGTGGTGAGCGCCATTTTCTTTCGCTGCCCTGGAACCTTGCGTTGAAGATTATGCCTAACTAAGCAACGTTGTCATGGCGACGTTAAACGTAAGTCCTTTGTTGGACAAATGTTAGAGTTATCTCTATCAATACGGTCTTTTTTTCTTGAAGCAAACGGCCAATGAAATGGACACATGTTGGTTGTATATGTGTCTAATATAATGGTAGATCTGCTTTATTCCGATGGCAAAACGTACTAATTGGTGTGATTCGCATTTTCGGCAAATATCACACTCTATTTGTAAGACATTTCCGTAGGGGTTTGGGAGCAAAACAACCAAATCGACACGTTTTCTGGTTTTGGGCATCACTGCGTTGAAATGTTTTGCGTTTTTTCCCCTTGAGTGCGTCCCTGGTGGTTTGAGTGGGAAACGAAGTCATTCTCTTTGAAATACACGTCACTATCAACCGATATTTTGACACAGTCATGATTCCAGTGCATTGGACGAAAACGCAAATGAACCTCCATGTTAGTCTGACACGCTTTCAATCTCGCTTAGAAAGATTTCCTTTTACGATAAGCTGACTCGCCAAGTTTGTTGGGGAAATCTTAAAGTAGCCGTGTAACATGGCTCTCTGCAATAACAAACTGTTCTCTAAGACAAACGGCTAAGTTTACACAAACTTTACTGTTTGTAGCTCTTTCTTAAGAAAATATTTGTCAGTGCAGTTTGATTAGGATGGTCTGTGTCAAGCGTGGTTGCAGGGCTATGTTTTGACAGTGTTTGTCAAAAGGGTCACAGTTGTTCTGGGAGAAAAAAAGGGTCTGGGCTACAGCTCCAAACTTAGTTGGTGGCGCATTTTGATGAGTAGATCCATTAAGGAAAAAAGGCCTCCCCCGAGGACACTATTACATGAGACTGGAGTCTGCCCGTCTTCCATCTCATACGTGTAACCTGTGCTTCAATTCGTGGCCCGGCTCGTACCACTGAATGGTTACGCCGTGTGTCAACCACTCTTTACAAAACGAGACAAATAAGTTTTGAAGAGTTTCCACTGGATGAAAAGAATCCTTATCTTTTTACGATTCGTTCCTGGCCTTTCTTCCACCCTTTTTTCAGTCCATTGTCTTCTACTATTTGTCGTTCATTCATCAAATTACAATCAACCAACATAGTGAAAACTCAACAGTTACATTGTCTTTGCTAATAACAATGTAATTGGCTAGGAGAAAAAAAACACTGAAAAACGTTTGTTGTCACAACACTAATGCTCTGACCAATATTGTGCAAAAATGTAACACAAATCCTGATCGAAATAATAATTGAAAAAATATATATTGGCGCCAATTTACTACACGTATGGTATTTGTAAAACGACTGGAGCATCGCACGTTGGCTTATTTACAGTAACAACTCCTCCGTGATTTCTACATGTGATTATTCTTTGTTTTGTTCACGAAGTCGACGACTTTCAAAACAGATAATAGGCAAAATATGATTGCTTTCTGTCGTCAGAACAATCCACTGGGAGGGACAACAAGACATGGACAAACACAGTTCCATTCTAAGCCGCGATTGGTTCAAAACAGAGACATAATGAGGTCCCCTAAGGGGCGTATTATACCGCGTCGTGATTGGCTAAGCGCAGCAAACTTTGGGTGGTCGCATTCATTGTTTGACAGCTGCTTAATAGAATTATTCTTATTCACGACAACAAGCGTACACACGGCTGTATTGAGGTTACCGTATATAAACTACAAGTTTGCCAACTTGATTCAGTAGTCGTTAGTGATAGCACAGCGCCGTAGCAGTGACGTTTTGGATGACACGCATACAGGACAACTCAACCGACAAATACAAAACAAGCTACGTAATACCGGTTTGCAGTAATGGTGAAAATTGAAATGATGGCGAAAGACGGTGGTACAACAACAACAACCACCACCACCAAGACGATAGGCATTAAGAGCTCGTTCACCATAGACAGCATGCTTCCACAGAAGGAGAAGGAGATCGAGGACATGGTTGTGAACGAGAACGGGAATCTACATGACTCGGACGAGATGGCGGAAAAAGTGCACGACAACGGAGAAACGATGGAAAGCAACGACGAAAATGCTAACCATTCTGGAAACAGAGAGAGTGAATCAAAGAAGGACGATGGAAATAAACAAACTGGGAGCAGTAATGGAAGCAGTCCGCCTCGTAATAAGTACGGTGAGAAACCCCCATTCAGTTACAACGCATTGATCATGATGGCAATACGACAGAGCCCTGAAAAGAGACTAACGCTAAATGGAATTTATGAATTTATTATGAAGCACTTTCCATACTATCGAGAAAACAAACAAGGTTGGCAGAACTCAATTCGACACAATTTAAGTCTCAACAAATGTTTTGTGAAAGTACCGAGGCATTACGATGATCCAGGCAAAGGCAACTACTGGATGCTGGACCCTTCTAGTGACGATGTCTTCATCGGGGGAACTACGGGAAAACTTCGTCGTCGCTCAACGTCAGCTTCTCGTAACAGGCTTGCACAGTTGAAAAGACACCCACGGCTCCATGGTGGTGGATACCCTCTACAAAGTGATATTAAACCATATCCTATGTATTGGCCAGCATCGCACATGTTACCATCGCTACCTCAGCACGCTGCTGCCAGCAATGCTCTACGCTACACGGCAACTGCTGGCGGTCTTCACACTTCGCACTACAACAGCTTATTTACACCAAGTCCAACCATGAGTCGACCCCTTGGCAGCCACAACTTTTCAGTCGACAGACTCATAGGCACAGACGCGTCATATGCGTCACCTCACCACCAGAACACTCTTTCACCGTCAGCTCAAACGCTGGCGTCTCTGAGATCGGGACTCGGGGTTGCAACACCCACCACGTTCGGTCTGAGTAACGTTACAACGAGTGCTGTGCAATCCGGCTATTTCTACCCACACTTTCACCACGCACAGGCGGCAACGGCGGCAACTACTTACGACATGTACTCCAGTCTAAGGGGCATGAACGTTAGTCCACCAACCGCTTTCACTAGTACGATAGCCGCACAGCCGATGACCACGGCAAGTAGTCTTTTAACAGATAACACATTTATAACAAACAATTCAGCGATAGGAACTGTGCAAGTGTTGCCAAGACCAAGTTAAATTCAAATTCATGATAACACCGGACTACTTGAAAGCAACTTGACACAAAACTCAACTAGACAAGGACATTATCATAGCAATAATACACTATATAATAGATTTTTATAATAGATTCATCATGCTGGACAACAAATGCTTATTTATGGTTTGCATGTTTTGTATATATCTATATTATATATATATATATTTATATTGTGATTGGGAGTATGTACAATTTCTAGCGCTAATTACATTGGACACATTCATCGGGAGGGAACAAATGTGCAATTCTATAAAACATACTTTTACGAATTTCGTCTTTTATATTTTATTTCAAATTGCAAACACAATATTTCGTCTCAGTGTTGGAAGCATACCTGTTGCTATTTGTGTATTACATGCAGTGTGGCTTGTTTCAGTTGGCTCCGTCAATCAAGGACGCTGAAATAAAACATTTTGGCTTCCATGATTGCATTTTGACTATCTGTATGTACATATTAAAAAACAAAACAAAATGAATTTTCGACAAAATAACGAGTATCTCATTTTTGTGGGGGAGGATTTCACAATACATCAAAATGGCGGAAAACCTCAATATTGTGATTGGGTGGAGAATACACATGATACCATCGGTGTGAACGTACGGAATCGTTGAAAATTACACTGAAATAGACACTATTTATTTCTTAAACCGTCATACCACATTTGGTAGCAGTTCACCTTGTTCATTGCATTACTGTAAATCCGTCTATACTGTAATGCGAGAAAATTAACTGTGAACCAAATGTGATTTTTTTGGGTTGTTGTTGAAATTTTCAAAACTATATCACTGCCATTTTCTATTTATCCAGGGGGGCTGATAATATCGCCCTCTCAACGAAACCTTGACGTTTATTATCGCGTTATATTACAATTGGTAATCACCGATTTTAGATGCGCACCTTGTTTGCCGATAAGACTCAGATGATTTCTTGCCCATTCAGTAAATAATGTTTAATTTCAATAACGAAAAAATATGTTCTGTTGGCGTAGACGGTGTAGGTTTCATAAATATGAACAATAACAGTTGGTGGAAGATGATTGTAACCAACCGGAAACACTTGTATACAAACGCCATGTTGGGTTATTTTTGTTTACAATCTACCAAATATAACCGCTATTTCCTGAACATGGTGTTATTCATTGTTAACACAAATCCGCACTAGAGAGCAAAATGTATTGATATTTTTTGTATTGAGATAGAAAATAATACTCTATCCCTATGTATATTGTTAAGATGTTGTGAAATCGTTTTGATTACACGAGAAAATATAACACGTAAACGAAATTATATTTAGTTTTTTTTTATATTGAGTGTACGTATGTGTGTTGAATGCTTGCGTATCAGATGTGTTTTTTTTCTATTAAGACAGGTACCCCGGAAGTAGCCGTTGAGTAATAAATACTCCGCTTTTGCTACATCTTCTCTTTTATCCCACCCATTCTTTGACTATGAGAGATGTTTCCAAATATTGATGAAAGCCTGAGAAGCCTTTTGCGGAGATCCATTTCCTTTAGTGGAATTGCATGCGCTGTGAGACATCGCATTCGGAGATTAAATATAATTTTAATTCTCTTTACGTTGGTATTGCAGTCTGGCCCCCTGGTGTTACCTGTAGCCGCCAATAATGGAGATATCGTTTGAATGGCAATAACGGACGGTGATTGGAACTGATGAATCTCGGGGACAAGATAGACATCGTTCAATCGCTTTTCGTGTTTTTTGTTCATTAGTGTTCACGCCATTGCCTCAATGGGTTCTATTTACCGTGTAGTTAACAGTCTATCGCAATAGATTGAATGGCCGCCAGTGGGTGCATAGCGGGACCCTTATGAAAAATAGATTAAATTTATTTTTTATTGTGTCATCTCTTTTCAATTCCAAAACGAATTATTCTTGAACTGTCGACTAGTAGGCATGTACTCGTGAAATGTACATTTAGATCATTTATGAGTATTTGCCTATATTGGAAATGGTGTGGAGTCCCCACAGTGGGAGACCGCAGACAGCAACGCTGTTGTTTGAGATGCCTTGTCTCATCGCATCATCGTCGCTGACTGTGCCTATCATTTGTTTGCCAACATATCCCAGACGTAGAGGACAAACATTACAGATTGATATTAAACAGAAAACGGTATGAGTTATAACTCAAAATCAAAGCACACTATGATCTTATTCCACGTCGACTCTGACTGCCACAAATAGGAAAAGGAAAATGGCTAATTCAGCACGTTTTCATATTTTAACAGCGAATGCATCCTGATTTAAAACGCATTCCTGAACTGTTTTCGCTGGCAACGTTGTACACCGTTCTCATATTATCTAAAATGCTACCCATTATTGAAAACCGTCCTCGAGCACGTTAAGTACAGCCATGACCTTTACACTCTGTTAACATCGCCGTCTTCCGAGTGGTCGCTTCCGTTTATGTATCGGTATAGATATTTAGGAATTAACTATTTTAAATGGCATTGTATCGTTATCAAAGCTGTGATTGCTGAGAATAATATTGACTGTAACTTATTTCTTTCTGAACATGACTTAAAATCAAAGCTTTGAGTTCTCCGTAAGAACGAGACATTTTAGGTTTATTTTGATTTGTTTGCCATTCGCCGCAAGCGACCCCCTTAGATTGTTCTTAACCAACCAGTTAGTGATACGTGATCCAGTTTAATACGCGTTAACTTTGGAGACTAAGACAAGTCAGATTACTGCGTGATCCGGTATATTAAATCACATTTTTAATTAATCTTGAGGTCTCTACACTCGATATGGGACACATTCTACTGCAAGTTCTCGGCGTCTGATTGAAATACTGACGGGACGTATAGACAGTGAGGTAACCCAACCCATCCAAAGCGGCATTTCTGTAGCATCCGCCCCTGCGTCCACAATGACGTTAACCCCGTAAAAGATGCCCAATTTGTCATTAGACAAAACACAGTGTATTCGTGGCAGTAACTCTCTTTCTTTCTCTTTACATTGAGCCACGTGTATACGCCACCAGTAATGTATGTTTTAATGAGTAGTTTTACACATCTTGCAAGTTCACTAAAGCTGTTCATTCGTAACACGAAATTTAAAAGATGAGATACAGCCAACAATGCAGGTGAAATGGCCGTTTAAGTAGAGAAGCCTAAACGTTTGACTTGCAGATATGGCCCATTCAGTTTTTCACAAGTCTCCATAATTCTCCATCGAAGCGCGAGAGATTGGGTACTTATCCACAGTGCCGATACAAACGAGGTAATTAGGCAGGCGATCAACCATTCTCCGTCTATTGCGCATCTTACCGCTGTTCTAAACCCACGTTCTTTGTGGCCTACCAACGGGGGTGTGTACTCGCCGTCTAGTTCACTTGTGTCGAGGTATCTTAACGCAGGGGGTGATAATTACGACCTGCCTAATACTTTATTTCAAACCACCGCTAAATTATCTTCCGCATTTTGTCTGCTTGTTTGCGCAATTGTCGCAGCGATCATTCGGAAGCCTGCAACGCTGTAATTTCACGCGTTCCCCGGAGATCCACGTTTACACAGTGCTGTAATTTTCAGTCAATTTGCCATGAATTGGATTGGCCTTTCGTCTGAATTCCTACAGGGACACTGAACGTGTTGGACATCAAATAAAGTAAAAAAAAAAAATAATTGAGACTAGAAGGGAAAACTTAAACAGAAATTTCCGTTTATAGTTATTTTTAAACATGGCTTCTGTCTATATGGACACGGACATAGTCACTGTTTTGTTGCATAGCTTTAATTATTATCGGTATATATGTATAAATATTTCAACGTGAATAAAACATAAGCCCATTTGATCGACACATGTATTTTAGCCATGTAGTAGCCAGAATCTTATTTCAAACGCGGCGCTCAACTTATTCTTAGCTTGATTGTTTTAATTCCGTGACACAATCAGCAATCGTCTGGTGATAACTCTGAGATTAGTGACAAACGATGGAAATGTGAACGGGTTTAACCTTACGAACGAACACAATATTTGTAAATTGAGTTAATTATCAACTATGGATAAGTTGTTGGGCGGTTGAGAGACATACTCTGATGCTGAATGACACATGACAGTGCAAGTTACACTTGAGCCACCTGGAAGAAACAGAAACAAGTCCAAATATTGACTATATGCAGGGAACGAGTTACAAGAGCATTGGACAGACCAAACGAGTCATAATCAGTAATAACTACCCCATTCAGCCGTCTTGGATAAATGATGCCTGAAAACTGAATACATAAACCACTATATAATGTTTTTTTTCTCTTTTATTTGGATATGAAATATAACTATGCGTTGTGACATCGACTCCGTCTATCAAGATTGTGGATCGAGAGGTTGGACAATGTTGTTGCAACCTTTGACTGCAGCTAATGTCAACAAGGCATTGTACGCCCATTACTCACTACCTCTTGTCTAAGTGTCGGATTGAATCAAATCTTACCACACGCTTGTTACAGTCCGTCCATGGTGCTGACGGCCACACCAGGAAATTGGTTGAGAAATTTATATGGGTGGTGGTCATGGCATTTCAATGTCAGACTTATGGCTCGGCAGCTCATACCAGTAAATGTTTGTCTCTACGGGGGCCAGTGCCATATCGGCGGCGACACGTAACTCAATCGGCGATTATTTGCCCACAGGTTACATTCGATATCGTGTTTGATAGACTGCGTTATGTCGGGGTGAGATGGAGCGAAAGTTATGTTTGTATGTGTGACGTTTTACCTCGTTACATTTTACCCAAATGCTTACAACATTTGTTGATTTTTCATTGTGGTAGCTATAGCAAAGGGCTCACCCAAGCTGTGTAGCCCGCTTCTAGAAACATACACTTCCAGACAATGTTATTTATGTTTTATTCAGACACATTTTGCATTCCACGCACGATCGATCGATCGTGTTATTTTATTTAGTTACCACAAGATTCAGATTTGTTGACGCGAATGCGTAAATATTATACAATTTCAACAATTTAATTGCGCATATCATTTTCACTTTCTCAGTTCCATAACGAGGCTCGATGTGTGGTTGAAATATGTTTGCATCAGTAATGCAATGAGTGCGTTCATAAGTATATACATCGCCACAATCATGGCGACTTTTTCAAGAATTGAAGGTGCGTACCATCAAACCACCATGTCTGTGACCAACAATACACCTCTCTCATATATTCATAACTAATACAATGTTGTATATTCAACACTTATCGCCATTATTACAGGCGATCATTCGGCGTTGGTTCCCATGGTCAGAATGAACTCAAAATTTAATTGGCTATGCCTTTGAAGTCATTTTACTGCCAAGTAATGTGGATCTTTTCAATTAACATATGAATTCAATGCCTACAGTATCACACTCTCCGTATATTGTTGTCACTATATAATCACTCAGCATATTCCCACATTAAAACAATGAAACGTATTTCGTGCATTTTCAATAACTCTCTTGTATTGCCAATTAGATTATTTTACAACACATTAACAGTGATATGAGT